TTAGACACAAGAAGAAACAGGAACAGAAACAAGGTCAACTCTGTATCTGTTTATGAAAGAGAAAAAGATGTAATTTATTTTTAAAACTACTCTGCTGTGCTGGGCATTGTGGGACATGCCTGTAATCCCAGCATTCAGGAGGCTGAGGCAGGAGGATCACTGTGAGTTCAAAGCCAACCTGGGCTATACCGTAAGTTCAAGACCAGCCTGAACTACACAGTGAGACCCTGTCTCAAAACAAACAAACAAACAAACAAAAAATACCCTGTTGTTCTTTCATTTTGATAAGCAAGAAACTACTGTATGGGAAAAATATGAATATCCTGGAAGTTTATAGCTAGAAGGAAGAATTGTAGGATGGTCCTGGAAAATGACCTAGGACCTCAAGCTTGCCAAGCAGGTGCTATACCGGAGCTATATCCCTAACCTGAAGGGAGAAAAAAAATTTTTTTTTTTTTGTTTTTTGTTTTTTGAGATAGGGTCTCACTAGCAGTTGAGACTGACCTGGAACTCACTATGTAGCCCAGGCTGAAGGGAGAATTTTTAAAAGTTAACTTACTATTGTTTTATAAGCAAAGTATATTCAAGGTTTTTTAAAAATAGAGAATACAAATTTGTCTTAAGAGTAACAAAAATTCCTCATGATCTCATCCTGTACATGATAATCACTGTTTACCTATGAATCTGATGATACTCTACCAACTGCAGTAAAATTCAGACAAAAGAGGCAACAGAGAAGTATGGCCTACCTTATAAAGAGACACACAGCCCTACCTAAGGGTAGGTGATGTTCTCATACCATCTTAACACAAAATGCTAAGAGAAACTGCCTGAGTATTTAAAATTTTATTGCCACAAAAAATATCAAAGTTTCCAATCTATAACTTTCTACCTGGCATAAATGCTATTTCTGAAAAAAAAAATCTAGTACAAAATCCCTAGGGCTATGCTGCTTCAATGACAGAATTCCACTGTGATCACTTAAATGCAAAAAATCAGAATATTTTGTCTAAATTTGTTTTAAGCCCATGAGATTTGACACACAAAGCAAGTTTCGGCAAAATGCAGTGTTAGGTTTTATGAATCTAGAATTTTCTTCCTAAATTCATTCTTTCTTTCTTTTTCTTTTTCTTTTTCTTTTTTTCTTTTTTGGTACTGGGGATCAAACTTAGGTCCTTGCACTTGTGAGGCAGGTGGTGGAACCATTCAGCTAAATCCCTGGCCTCTCATTTTATTTTTTATTAGTATATGTTTGTGATACATAATATGGAATTACGCTTATTTTGTATTGGTACATATACATATCATATCTTAATCATTTTTATTTCCTGGTTCTAGAATTATTTTAAAAAATAAAATTTAAAAGGCCAGCCAAGAAGCTTAAGTGAAAATGGGACAAAGTAATGCTAACTTTATAAAGAAAACTAATCCAGGCAAGATCATCAAAATATTTCTTTCTGGGTTCTCTGGTTTTCCAACTTTTTACTGAAGGCATATACTTTCAAATAAACTGGCAAACTTACATGTGTTTAGGTTTCCACACACTGAGATCTGCCCAAGTAGGTATATGGGTTAATGGAAATATGATTTATTTTTATATAGCTGTATAAATATATATATATATATGAAAGGCATATGGAAATATACCCATGGTACATATAATTTCAGGACTCTTCAAGTCTTGCAAGCTAATACATGTTATAGGTAGCACAGTGTGGTCTAATGCACAGGGCCCTGCATCTGGTTTTCTTGGGCTGCTGCAGGCGACACTTTGGGAAATAATGGACTCGAATCAATGGGCACAAGGTCTGAGCCACAGATGATTTTGCTACCTGCACTCCCACACCATTCATATGAGGAGCCCTTCAACAATTATGAAACATCTGCACGTAGTTCATACACACTTCATCCCATCTGGACACTCCTCACTTTGCACATACCTGAGCATTCTAATTCCACACTGAAATCGACACTTTTTTTTATTTTTTGCAAGGAGAAGAAAACCAAAACTGAGGCCCACCATGTAGCAGCAGTGTGCTACTGCAGACACTGATGTCTCCATTTCCAGGGCTGGAAGGGACTTCAAAGGCAGAGGCTTGCTTTTGCTCCCTCAGTCCTCTTATTGTTTACAAAAAACTCACATAAAGTCAGTGACATTCCACAGCTACTCTGCCTGGTGAAGGCTATGAATCTAGTTTAGGCAAAGCAGGCCCCTGTGGAGATGGAGGAAAAGCGTTATTTGGGATCTTCCCCATTCCTAACTTTGTTGCCATTTACTCTGGAGAGCTGAATCCCACAGCAAACAACACTACTCTCCAGCTCTGCCAAACACCCTGTAATCTAACCAAGGTGAGGGGATTTGTTTGCTTTCCTCCTCTAATTATGTCCTTGGTAAGAAAATGAGAAGAAAGTGTAGGCTAATCATAGCCTTTCCCTGCTCAGTTAAGCTGGGAAGCAGACTGTCCTGGGGGCTGCCAGGTCCCTGCAGAACTCCTGCACAGAGGACAGGGGGGAGGCTGTGGCCAGGCCCAGCACCAAGCAGGGTGGCTGAGGGAGATGGGCCAGACCTGGGCACCCCTGACCCTCTCCTCACAGAGACAAGCACAGAGTGCCTGCCCAGATGTTACCCTCACACACTGTCTGGCCAGGGACAGCCAGGTCAGCTCTTCTAGGACTCGAGCTCTTGCTCCCTCTGTAACCAGTGCTTTCCTTAAACTCTCTCCAAGTAAAGCCTTTCTAGGGCATCATGTACTTTCTGTCAGGATCCTGGCCAAAGCAACCAGGAAGGTCTTGTTGGTGTGAAGTGGGACACTGTTAGAATGACTTTAGAAAAGGGATACTAAAAAGAATTAGAAACTTTGCAGACAGATTAATAATGTCCCGCTCAGGAGCCAGGGATGTAGCTTTAGTGGTAGACAGCTTGGCTAGCACAACAAGGCCTTTGGTTTGCTTCCTGGCAGTGTGCAAAAAACAAAACAAAATAACAATGATTATGTCTAGTTTAGGCTAGGGCTCTAATTTTCATTACAACCTGGAAGAATTAATGCCAGATCCCCCTAACGAAGATGTCTGGAGGACACTAAATTAACAGCCTCGCTTTTCCTTCAGTGCAGACCCAATTTCTATCTCCCTAAGCAGTAAGAACCCTGATGTCACTTGTGCTGTGTCAGGTACCGTGTAAAACTGTTCTTCACAAGTCAACTCGCTTGGAGCTGAAAACAACTTAACAAGACAACATACTAATATTATCCCCCTTTGTCAGATAAGGAAACTGAGGCATGAGCTAGTAAAGATCAGTTGGGCACGGTGGTGCATGTCAGTCATCCCCAGTCTTGCTTGTTCAGTTGTGCCAGGAGGATAGAAAGTTTGAACCTAGCCTGGGCATCCTGGCAACTTAGTAAGAATCTGAAAATACAAAATAAAAAGGGCTGGAGTTGTAGCACAGTGTGAAAACCCTGAGTTAAAGCCCCAGTTCAGCTTAAAAGGGATTTTGGGGTGGGGATCGTTGTGGTTTGTGTTTAGATGTCCCCCAAAGCCTCATGTGGATGAGGTGGGACTTGCTTTTTCATAGTTGACTCTGGAAGGTGTGATGCTGGGGTTAAGGGCATGCGATTACTAAACCACTACACATGAACAATTAATTTGGCACTGCCCTCAACCCAGTATCTGAATATGATAAAAGGGACAGAAAGATGCTGTTAAATTTTCTTGTTACCTCTGCTACCTTGTGTATGCCATGTTGTTTCTCTGCTGTGATGCCTCTCTGCCAACCACTCTGCTATGGAGCCAGCCGATTATGGACTGTAAGCCAAATAAACCTCTTCCCCTCCAACTGTGGGTGTCAAGTATTTTGTCTTAGCAATGAGAGGAAAGTAAGTAACACAGGGATGTAGATAGGGGAATGGCTCAGCAGTCCCCAGCACCACAAAACAAACCAAACAAACCAGTAAGGAAGGATCTTGCCTAATGTTACACAGCTAAGATTTGGCAGAACTTGGATTTGAACCTAAGCAGTCTGACTCCAGGGTCAGGGCATTCTTAACCAGTACATACAGTGTATGCCTCTGCCCAGAAGGCCTGCAAATGAAGGTATGGGAGGTGAAGAGGCCAGTGCAGCCTCTCTTTTAAGAGCCTCAGCTGCTATGGGTGCCTCCCCACTCCTGCTGATCCCTGTGTGAAATGGGCTTGTGGGCATATATACCACCACCCCAGCATTTTGGAAGCTGAGGCAGGAAGACCGCCCCAAGTTTGGAGGTCAGCTTGGACTACATACAGATCAAGGCCAGCATGAACTACAAAGAGAGACTTTGTTTCTAAAAACAAACAAACAAACGTAGAAACAAAGAAATGATGCCCTGCAACACTTTCAGATACCAATCCAAATACTTCTTTCCAATGACATGCCAAGTCTCTCCCCAAACACATGCCTACTGGGAGACTCACATTCCACTGCAAAGCAAGCCAGCACTGGGAAGTTTAATAAAGGACAGTTGGGACACGAGAGACCAGTGTATAGCTCAATCAAGGAACAACTGAACAAGTATTTAACTGCAAAATGATCTGTAGCCTGGACACAGGGGCTGAGTCCTGATTCTCATTCTGCTTCGCGTAACATTTACTTTCTCTCTGCTTAAATCCACCTCCCTCCTGCCAAAGAGGCAAAATGTGTGGGTGGGAGGATGAACGAGCCAGCCTTGTGCATATTACACAGTTCAGTAATCCAAGAAGAAAATAAATGGGCAGGGAATGATGCGTGTACCGAACAGTCAGAAAGCAGCACATTAAGACATACTGTCAAATGTTTTCCCAGTCTGAATAAACAGCCAGCCAATCAGCCATTCTATTTAAACCTTTTTCCGGATGTGATTTCAAGCCACTCTGGATGCTGGCTTTTTGACTGAGTAACTACCCCTGAATTCATTCTGCAAAGTAAGCTGATGATAGGGATTGAGAAGGACCTTGAAATACCAACAGCGGAAAGGGCTCAGAGCTTGGCTTACCAGTTGAGTCAGCCCCGGAAGCCCTGCTGCTTATCTGCTCCTCTGCATGGATGAGCTGCAGGTCTGTGTACGAAGGCCCAATGCTAGGACTGCTGGTGTCTTCAGAACGGGTGGTCCAGCTGCTCTCGGAGGTCAGAGGGCATCTCCTCAGGGAGTCAAAGGACGGGCACGTCCAGCAGGGCATGGCCAGTGTGAGGGCTGGTAACAGACAGAAATCCAAGATAGTGTAATGTAAACGCTGTCTTTTATCTGGAGTTCTTGTTTTACTTTGATGTCACTCAGATCTTACAGAATCACAACAGCCATACAAGGCAAAGAAATACAGAAGAATCACTTATGATATAAACAGGGAAATCTGATGGAGCTCCCACACAGCAAGTCACTGTCAGAACCAGCACTGAAACTCACATCCCAGGACCCTCAATTCCAAGAAAATCTCACAAAGGGAATATGAGTTTCTTTAGGGTATAATTTTATTTCTGAATTTGGCATTTCAACTTAATTCAAGCCCAAAGTACATGCATCTTGCATGGAAATAGAAATACCCTTCTATTTCCTTCACTTTCGGAGCTGCACTAATAACCCAAGACAATTCACCAAGTGACACTGCAGAATTAGAGCCAGTGTGGCAGACACACAATTGGGCCTCTGCATGGCTGAGTTTGACAGGAACCGAAGACTCTGCAAAACATTACAAATACAAATGGAGTTTGCTGGGGCAGCTGGACCTCGTGCAATACAATGAAAAAATATCCTTAAGGGGAAAATGCACAGGCCTTGGCTTCATCTCCTTTTAAAAGCACTTCACAAAGTGTTTTTTTTTTTCTTTGTAAGTCAGAATTTCTAATTCTCTTCCGTTTGTCCCTAATTGTATACCATATGCTTTCTCCACAGTGCTGTATAAATATCCTATCACTACAATTACCATCAAGCACTGAAGAGTGTGGACAGCGAAGGACTAAAAATGAAAGAAATCACTCTACATTGAATGTCCATTCAAAGGTCAAGCACTATTACAATAGTTACTTTGTTTTATCCTTCAATCCAGAGAAATAGGTAGTGGTCTTATTTTAGAGAGGGGAAACAATCTTAGAGGGTAAGAAACTTGCCAAGATTATAGTCATTCTTGGCTGGAGAATGAAATTGTATTTGGGTTAAAAAATACAGGAGATTGAAAGTTCTTTTTGCTACTGCGATTTTTTAAAACTTTTATTAGTAGACGTTTGCAGTATATAATGATTACACTCACTGTAGGGAATTGGTACACATACATAATACATTTTAATTCCCTTCTTTTTCCCCTCTTTCTCTACCCCCTTTTTATTTTTCTAGCATCAGGTTTACTTATTTATTTTATAAAACCTTATAAAGTTAATTACATATATAGCTTGAAAACCAATGGGCCAAAGAACACAAAGCACCTAAGACAATTGTATTAAGTCAAGGTATACTTTTTATTTTTTGATAGGGTTTCACTATGTAGTTCATACTCGCCTCGAACACACTATGTAGCCTAGGCTGGCCTTGACCTTGCTGTAATCCTCCAGTCTCAGCCTCCCAAGTGCTGGGATTACAGGCGTACCCAGTACAATATACACTTTTAGATACATTGTCAGTGTTGGGTTACAATACCTTTTTTCCTACTACATATATACAATATTGAGTTTTTCATATAAGAGAAATCATGCAATGTTTAAGCTTGAGTTCCTTAACTTAAAATTATGGTCTCAAAGCACATTCATCTTCCTGTAAGTGACTCGCGTTTAGCCTTCTTTGTGGCAGAGTAGTACTCCATTGAGTATATATACTACATTTTTTAATTCATTCAGCTGTTGACAGACATATAGGCTGTTTCCAAGTTTTCATATTAAGAAATGTGCTGCTATAAACACAAGTATGCATACATCACTGTAATATGTTGTCTTTAACTCTTTTGGGAAGATACTTAGAAGAGGAATAGCTGGGTCATATATAATCTCTTTTAGTTTTTTGAGGAATCTTCATACTAATTTCCATAGTGATTGTATCAGTTTACAGTCCTACCAACAATGGAGAAGGGTTCCTTTCCCCCGCAGCCTCACCAGCATTTGTTATTGGTTGAGTTTTTGATGGCAGCCATTCTTTCTGGTGTGAGATGGAATCTCAGTGTTGTTTTAATTTGCATTTCTTGAATGGCCAGTTGAACATTTTTTCATGTATTTATTGGCCATTTGTATTTCTTCATCTGAGAAGTATCTATTCATTTCAGATGTCCATATTTTAACTGGACATTTTTAAACTTTAAATTTGAGGGTGTCTAATTTTTTGAATTCTTTATATATTGTAGACATTAGTCTTTTAAGAAGAGAAAATTGAGATTTAATGGAGAAGAAAGGATAAATGGCAATATCTGTGACAAAGTGCAAATATAAAACTAAAGAAAATTCTAGTCCTTATTTTGTTAGGCATTTATAAAACACTTAGGTCTTTTTTCTGATGGGCTCATAGCTTGTACCTACTTTTCTTTAAAAATGTCAGTCTATTTGTAAATTATTCCTGAGTTATTCCCTCTGTTTTTTCTTAGCTTCATTATCTGATGTCCTAGATAGCTGTGTCATCTATACTAGAGTCGACAATCCTTATGGACAGGGCTTCTCATATATTTGTTACCTCTCTCATTCCTAGGATACTGCCCAGTACGAGTGAGTGTTTGGTTTGTTGGTTATGTATTCAGAAGCATCACAAATCATTCTACAATGATCTATATTAAAATACAGATTGTTAAAACTAAACTGGCAGGTATAAAACCCTTATACACATGCCTGTAACCCCAGCAATCTGGAGGCTGAGGCAGGAGGATTGCCGTGAGTTCAAGGCTGACCTGGGCTATACAGTGAGTTTGAGGCCATCCGGAACGACATAGCAAGACCCTGTTTCAAAAATAAATAAATGAAATAAATAAAACCCCTATACAAGCACAGATAAAACTGAAATACTAAAAGAGAAAAAATTTATTGGCATATGTTTTTAACACATACTAATTACATTCACTTTAGGGAACTGACCCATATACATACTGCAACTTCTACTTTCTCACCCCATCTAGAAAAATAAAAATATAAATAAATAAATAAATAATTTTTAAAAAAGCAACACTGAATTTGTAAGAATTTATTATAGCACTGCCATTTCCTATTGTATAGTGGATTAGAATTTTGAAGTACTATGGAAATAAAATTGTAGATAAGATGTAGCCACATTATTTTAAATACATTACAAGACTAGCAAGAAAGTAAAATGTTACCAAGGCCAGGTGAAAGCAGGAACCCAGAAACATAAGCAAAGCATACCACCTGATTGTCCACGCTCCAGACTGTGAACAAACCAGAGAAACTCTTGAGTCCCGGTATTTTAAGCCTTGTGTAAAGAAGACAAAGGAGAAGAAAACCTGTGGTCACAGGATGAGGGAGCTAACATAAATCTGAAACACAAATGAGAATTCCAAAAAGGCTGACTGAGTAAATTAGGAAAAGCCCCCACCCTTAAGATCAGAGAGCAAAGAAAACGATCTGCCTCCTGTTTGGGTGTAGGGTCGAAGGAAATAGTGTATCACCTGACAAACTGTCTCATGAAGGGGTTTGCGTGGCCAACACTTGCGCAATCTGAAAAACCTGCAGCCTGAGATTTTAAAGTATTTCCAGGTTGACAGTGGCCTTTGATACCTGGGAAAAGCAAATAATCCTTTCTGGAGGATAGCTTCAAACCAGCCCTTCAGGCAGACAGCTCCTATACTGATGTGTACAAAGCAATGATAATGATAAAATCAGAAAATACTGACGCCAAGTTACCATAAACAAGAACAAGCAAGGTATTCAGAATAAAGAGCTAAAAATCAGAACTTCAAAGAATTCAGGCTCTAAAACTATTCAACAGAAAATATTTATTTAAGAAAATTTAAAAATTGGGAATATGAGGAAGAAACAGGTGGAACTGAAAGAAGACTACATTTCTGGAAAAGAAAAAATATACTATCCTAAATATAAAATTGAAGGGACAGCAGAGACAAAAAAGTGAAAACAGGGAGATAAAAACAAATAGAAGACATAATAAGAAAGTCTTGTTTATATCTGAGCTCCTAAAAAGAACAGAAAAAATGGCACTAGTTTTTAAATGCCAACTGATAATTTCCTAGATTTTGTGAAAGATATTACTTGTCAGATTAGAAACCCCAAGGCATGTCAAGCAGAGAAACTAAAAAGAAAATCACAAGTAGACATCAAAATTTTGTAAAACCAAGACAAAGGAAAAAGCTTAAAAGCCATTAAAGAAAGAATATAGCTTGCTCTCAACAGGATGATTAGACTGACTTCAGCTCTTCAACAGAAACAGAAGCCAGGGTGTACTTCAGTGTGTAAATAGAAATAACCATCAAGTTAGGACTGCATATCCAGAGAAAATATCATCACAGAATAAGGGAAAATAAAGACAAGTTAGACAAACAAAGATGACAAACTAAAAGTAGGAAAGAAAGATGAGAAAAACATAAGATGAAACACATAAAACTTATCATTATTTAATAATAAACATAAGTAAATTCTTCTAGTTAAAAGAGAAAGACTGTCAGGCTGAGTGACAGATGAAATTCAGTATGCTGTGCGTAATATGTCTAAACTATAAAGAATCATCAGTGATGGAGTGATGAGAAAGACACACTGAAACAAAAAATGAAAACAAAATGATACGGTTATATCAGAAACTATAGACTTTACCACAAAATAACAAAAGTTCCATTCATCAGAAATAAATAATTCTGAATTTGTATATACATAACAGTCTCAAGATTATTAATGCAAAAACAGAATATCACAACTAGGAAAGGACACTGACATAATCCCTCAGTGTCACTCAGATTCCCCCAGTTCACATGGACACACGTGTGTGTTCACATGTAGTTCTGTGAAGTATTATCATGTGTAGGCTCATGCTTCCACTACCACTACCATGGTCAAAATACAGAACAGGGCCAACACTAGAAAGAGCCTCATGCCCTTTTATAGCCACCTATTTTCCTACCACTTTGCCTCTGTTTTTCATTTTCACAGTTTGGTCATTTTAAGAATGGTATGTAAATGGGGGCTGGGAATTTAGCTCAGTGGCACTGTGCCTGCCTGGCAAGCTCAAGGTCCTGAGTTTGATCCCCAGTACCAGGGGAAAAAAGT